CAAGAAGAAGCTTCAGATTCTGATGAGAAGTGCAGACACACACAGAATGTGTCCCCTTGGGACCAACTGGGATGCACCATTTTGGTCTTAAGCTTGCAAACTTGGAAAACCCAATACAGAAAGCAGGATTATCAGCCTTGAACAAGGAATATAGCTCTTTTATGTTGCATAAAAGAAGTCGCTTTTGCATATGTCTTTTTTGTCCAAGGCTCACAAAATCTTTCTTTCCTGGAAGTTGTCGGCTGTTTTCATCGCTGCAATAATAAGATTGAACAGCATTTAACAACACCTCTTTAATTTTCTTGCCAGTCACTTTGTCTGGCATACCAAGAATCCCTTTCTCTTCTTTTATTTCTCTTGCCTTCCTGGCCATGCAAACAGGTACTTGAAATATGTTTGAAGCCTTCCGTACTGACCAAGAATTAGGAATCAGTGTAAGAATTTGGATTTTCTCCCGTCGACATGAAACCTCCAATTTTTCTTTCATGAGACTGACCAAAAAGTCTGAGTCGCTGGCTTTCTGGATAAATTCCTCTATCTGCTCCTTCCCTTCATCTGACTCCTCTAAATCATCTGGTTCCACATTTAGTATTGCTGCAACCTTCTTTGAAGCGGCTTCATTTATCTGTCGCAACTTTCTTTTCCCTCGCTTAAGTTTTGATGATGAGTTTGGGAAACCAGTTCAGCTCTGTCCAAAGATCTCCACTGATGAAAAGTGACTTCAGTAAAATCATCTTCATCTTCAACCTCCTTGCCTTCTCCAAATGTTGTTGATTCTGTGAAGATATTGCGTAAGCAATCTTCAACATTTTCAATTCCAGGACATCGTGCACATCTGTGAATCATGCATCCTCTGGAAGTACTGTCACAGACTACCATATCAATCAGGTCATGGTACTGGTGTCCTAAATTTGCAGCATCAAGAAGAAGCTTCAGATTCTGATGAGAAGTGCAGACACACACAGAATGTGTCCCCTTGGGACCAACTGGGATGCACCATTTTGGTCTTAAGCTTGCAAACTTGGAAAACCCAATACAGAAAGCAGGATTATCAGCCTTGAACAAGGAATATAGCTCTTTTATGTTGCATAAAAGAAGTCGCTTTTGCATATGTCTTTTTTGTCCAAGGCTCA